AGTTAGCCGCAGCGCCATAGACTAGCGTCCCCCCACACCTTGGGCAGAGAGAGTTTGGGGCTCTAAACAGCTGCTGCTGCGGCAGGAGGGAGCCGAGGTGAAGGGATCTGCTAGCTGGTTGGACGCAGAGGAGGCGGCTGTAATGGGGCATTGAGTCTTGAGGGAGGAGGGGGGCGATTAAACGTCTTGTGATCATGGCGGAGTCTGGGTATTTTTTCCTGTCTAACTCTTCTATGCGTGTGTCTCTTGTTTCTCTCTTTCTCTCTCTCCTTAGGGCGCTTGGCTGGGGCTGCTCGCTCGGGTTCTGCCTGTTGTTGCGCGAAATGGCGGCTGGCGTCTTGGTGGGTTTGGTTGTCGGTTTTTTGTGTAGGGTTTTTTTTTTCTTCCCCTCCTATTCCCCTCCCCCCCGCTTGTGCCTTGGCTGCGGCTCCGCAGCGAACCGCGGCGGAGACTTGAGTCAGGAGTGGGGCGGGAGCTGCGCGGCAGCCAATGGCCGGGCCGGCCGGGCCGGCCCGGCGCGCCCCGATTGGCTGGCGCTGACATCATCCTGCAGCAGGGGCAGCCGCAGCTGGGCAGGGTTGGGAGCTGCCGGGGGAGGCTGGTGCAAAGGGAGAAAACGGGCGCCATGATCCCAGCGCGAGGGAGGACTTCACGGGCGGGGGATCCCCGACGAGCTGCTGAAAAGGAAAGCAGGACCAGGCCTTTGTTTCTCCTTCCCAAACAGTGCCGGGGCTGTGAGGAGAGGGGGAAGAGCGAGAGAGGAGCAACTCGTGCCTGCTTTTGTAACTGCGTCAGTACAAGATGGCGCAGGGTCTCCCTGGAGAGGGAAGGGAGTTGCACGTCCGCCGGAGGTCATGTGACCGCGTTGCATTCTTGTGGGGTTTGGCTGCAGACCAAGCTGGCTGAGGCGGCGGCGGCGGCTGCCCGGGAGAGTCCCTGCTTCCCTCCCCCCTCCCCGCACAGCGCCGTCGGTGCCGCGTTGGTTCCCATTTCCCTTCCCCCATTAACCTTATGCACGAGGGTGTAGCTGCCGCTGAGGAAGGTTCTCGCTCCTCTCCGTATTCTCCACCCATCTCCAGGGTGTAGCTGCTCTCGGGGGAAGCTTTTCCATTCCGCCCCCTCTGCGTAAGGCTTTACCCACTGCAAGGGAAAGTTCCCCCTCGGCGCCTCCGCGCTCCGCCCGACTGTGGGAGCGGGCGGAGCGCGGCTGCGGCGCTGGGCCTTCGAGCGGCCGGGTGTTTAACGTATATGGCACCCGCTCTCGTTCGGCTTCCCCTCCTCGTGTACGAGAGCACTTTTCTCTGTAAGTTAGGTTCCCCGGAATCCTAGAATGGTTCTTACTGAAAGAGTCGGTTTAAGCGATGTTTAAATGACCTCATTAAAGCAGCCGAGGAAAATGTACAGGTTATGCGGAGTTGTCGTATTTCTAGCGTTGCTTTGCCGGGGGTACAGGGTGGGGGGGCCTAAGGAAAAATCTGCACGCTGTTAATGACTTTATTCTATTTGAGCAGAACTTCGTTATGGAAAAACGGATCGATGTTCTTTTATTTGTATGTTGTTGGATCCTGTTGTAGGAGATGAGCAGCTTTTCAGTAAGATAATGTGGCATGTTTTACAAGGTTAGGCCGTGGATGGCCTGCATCTTTAACACCGGATTGAAGTATATTCTTAGTGCAAATGAAAACTATGGTATGCAAATATCGTGAAGATGCCCCATGTCTTACTTTCTGAGGTTCATAAGAAAATGAACTTGTCACGCAGGTCTGGGTAGGTTTAGAAGCTTGGCAGGTTTTTGTTTTGTTTTGTTGTTTTGTTTTTTTTTTCCTGGCTCTCTTTTAATTTCAGTATTGTGATGGGGAAGTAAAAAATGTTTGTTTTCCAACCGTAACACTTCATTTTTTCTCTTAAAGAGTGCAACTTGTGTTACTGTTTGGGTGGTCTTCTTGTGTTTTCAGAGCACTTCAGTGCTAGTTCCTACCTCTTGTTCTTGCGTGGCAAGGGTGTAAATTTAGCCTCTGCATCTAACCCAGTGAACAAATGAACAGTTAAAATTGCTGATGCTTTAAGGATGGTTGGTTGTTCTATTTAGAAATGTTTCATAGCACTTTTTCAGTTCTCAGTCTGTCCCCAGATAGATGTGAATATTTTTTTAATTTCTTTCTTCCACGGCAGTAACCTGGTGGGGGATAAACTTGAATATTTGGTGAATGTGTTGTGTGAGAACTCCTGGAATGAAAGTAACTGAACATATGACTAATACAGAAGTCTCCTGTATAATAGACGCTACTTAATACATGTTACATAAGTAATATGGTGAGGTGGAGTCTAGTTACATAAGAACTGACTGGGGACTTGGGAGCTACTGTAAGTAGTCCATATTAATTGCAGTTACAGCCTGCGGGGCAGGTTGTGGGGGGAGGGGTGTGGAAGAACAGGATTGGAAGCATCTAACTAATAGTGCTACATTTTTCCTTTGTAGGTTATATAAAGGATACCAGGAAAGAAATGGAGGAGACTGTAATTAAGGATGATACAGTGTGAAGCCCTCGAAAGTTAGGAGTCTCATTTGAGTCTAGCTTTTAGGATATAAACTCTACTTCCTAAAAGAACAGTTCACCCCTTGGCCTTTTTTGAGTGTCAGATAGTGGCTGTCAGCTGAGCATCGCACCAACCAATTTTGTTCTGTGCAGACTACTATAAAGAGCAGGATTTTGAGTCCGAGTTTGTTGGTTTTTTTAAAAAAAAAAAAAAAAAAGCTTACTGGAAATGCTGTTATGAGGTGGCAGTTGTTTTGTTGACTGAACGTTTAACTGACTGGATTACTGATTCTTCTTGTGTAGGCATAGTGTGATACAAGGTAAATACTCCATTTGTAATGGAAGCTTCCAGAGAGGATTTTGGTTTACAATGATTCTTTTGATACAGAACAGATTTATTTGGGACCTGACATGGTGAATATTTCCTTGCAGATCCATTAACTGAAGAACGTTAAGTTGAACTGAAGATGAGGAAAAAACACATTTCTATTTTATTAGTACTTGCATTTAGGCATGTATTCTATAATGATGAAATAGGAAGTAGTTGCCTACCTCGCTGGACGGGACTAGTTTGAATGCTTACATTAGAGTAGTTTGTATGGAACGCTGGAATTCAAAAGCTTAATTATGGCAGCTAGAGCTTTAATTCTTAAATCAACCTTTTAGGTAGCTGACATTAATACAGATTTTGCTTGAAAACCAAGAAGTGAACTACTTTAAAAGTTCTCTGTGTAACGGGTAGTTTATTGCAGCAGTACTTGAACTGAGGTGTCTCTGTGCTTTTACAAAGCTAGAAATGAAGGCAGGTTTTAATGAGCTTATAGTATTTTATTGTTTCAAGGATGTTTTATTAGCTGTTCTCAGGGAAGCGGTATTAGTTATCTTCAAAAAAGCAATAGCTTCAGCAGTGTTGCAGTGCAGTCTCAAAACAATGTCTGATGCATTCTGAATTACTTCTGCTGCAGATGAGTAAAAAAATGCGCATGCTCCTTTGAGATGGAAACCTCTGGGGGAGGGGATTTGCCCAAAGGCCAGTCGGATGCAAGCTGTGTCTTAATCGGGAAGGTGAGGCGAAGGAAAGGAGCTGTAAAGGAAGGAGACTGGGTAAAAAACAGACATGTAGCTTGCATTTATGGTAGCCTACCAGGGAGAGAAACAATTCCTACTGAACTACAATTCTTTCCTTTTAATAAGGGTATTTCAGTTGTCTGGATGTTCTCCAGCAGTCAGACTTGTGGTTCTAACTTGTGATGATAGCCTGTCTGTGCATGTATATGGGGCCTGTGCCTTTGCTAAGATCTGTTATTTAAACACTGTTGTTTACCTTTAAGCCTTACAAAGGGACTGACAGGAGTTCAAGGGTGTTTAGGGGAGAAAGGAGAGAGATACTCACAGCGTAATAGATCTGAGTATGAATTAATGACATAGTTGAAACAGTTGAAGTGGTGGTCATGCTGAAATAAGATCCCGCACCTTTCCCAGCTGTTCATTCTTGCTTCTGCACCACCCCTTTTTTGATGGTGTTAGTGATCATGTGGGAAGTAGAAGAGAAGAATGTATCTAGTATAAGCCTTACTGTAATGGATGGTTTTCTGATGTGAATGTTCATTTTGTGGCTTCACAAACACACCTGCTTGAACAGGAATAGGGAGAAGCAGCTGTGTGGAGAATGGAGGTGTGCAGTTTAACTGTTAGTGAAATCGGGTGTGGTTTTTTTTATCAGGAAAGATGCAGTTCTTAGGGAGTTTTGAGAGGCAACTCTTAAAGGCACTTGGCTATTGCAGCCAGAGTTGCTGCTTAAGGAGTCAAGCACACTTTAAAAAAAAAAAAAAATCTAAGAGTATGTCAGGCACAGCTACATTGTTCTGCAGTTGTAGGTGGCAAGATCATTTCAGATTCATTCCAATGATAGCCTACAAAAATAAGTAGAATGCCATTTCTTCTCAAATGTAGCTAAGTGTTCACAGGATTTTGGATTTAAGGTGCTTTGTTGCAATGGGGTAAAATTTGGAATAGGCTTGCTTCTTACAGAAGTGGCTGATAATAGCTGGGGTATTCAGTGAAGAATTACTGGATGATTTCTGAGCTAATCTTAAAAAAAAAAAAAACAAACAAACCAGCCATGTGGGTCACAGTGTTCACTAGTTAAATGAATGTGTTATTTGCATGTAGTAGAGGAGGTCCAGTGACTTCTGACTGATCAGTTTTATGCACCTAGATGTGGAAAGACAGTGTTCCAAGGTTTGAACAGCAGTAGGACAGGGCAGGAACTTACTTTGCGCACCACTTTAGGCTTTGTGTTATGATAAGTTTTTCTGAAAAAGTTGTCACTAGTAAGGTTTTTCTCTAGAAGGAAAACAAGGTATTGGCTGGTTCTACAATTCTTAACAGTTGAGTTCCTCATTTAAAGAAGCCAGTTTAAAGCTGTTGTGTGGCCTGCTAATCCCAGGATTAGTGGGAATTTGCACTGAGTCCAGTTCACTGGTATGACCTTTGGGTAGTGATGTGGGGCAGTGGCTTTTTTTTTTTCTCCTTCTAGCATGACCTTGTTATTTGAAGTAGAGTCTTTATGATGAATTTCTGGTTGCTTTGGAGAGCAATATTAAGCTCTGTGTAGTTAATTTCATAAGTAAGGTAGTGCTCTAAGCTGATCATAATATACCACTAGCCCTGAAGCCCTGTCAGTAACAGTTCTTTGATGAAGATGCTGGGAAAAAAAGCGCAATAGAATGGTTCCTTGACTGAGTGTTAAGGTGCAGACAGTGTAAACACAATGGTGGCTCTTGAGGATCTCTAGGAAGAAAATGGGGGAGAATACTGCCACTTTCTCAGAGTTGGGACATGCCCGAGTCAGGAAGTTGCTGAACTGTGGGCTCCAGCATCCCAGAATGCAGCTGGTCCTGTCACAAGGAAAGCAAGTGTTTGTGTTGCTTGTAAGCTTGGAAACCAAACAAAACTTAGCTGCTGTATTTGTCTGGTTAAGTGTTGGACAAAAGAGGTTCCTTATCTCTGCTGAAACTTCTTACTGTGACTTGTTTTGGAGACTGCTTGTAGTCCTATTCCATGTGGCCTGTTAGGACTCAAACCAGTTTCAGAAGTACAGAAGTCTGATGGCAGAACGGTATACTCAAAATGGGTAGCTTTCTGATATTGAATACCACTGGCTATAATAATGGGTTTGTTTCCTGCAAAGTTCAGTAGGTTGGCAACAAATGCAGTTTTGTATTGGTGAAGTTCAATCCTTAGTATCTGATCTACAGAAATTATGTGTCTTTCTGTCCAGTTGGTTGTCATGTGTGTGGAGCTTTGATAGCTGCTTGATCCAGTGTTAATACCACTGCTGTAGACCAAACTGCCTTATGTGGCAGATCTGGAGTGTGTCAAAACTAATAGGGAGGGCACAGAATAATTTAGTCTGAAAGAGCTATCTGGAAAACAAGCATTAGCATCCAGTTATTCTGCTAAACTCTTTTTCCTGTCTCCCGTGTGCCTGCCTTTCCTTATCAGGTTAATGACTGTCATGTGATTTCCCCAGATTTAAGTGAAGTTCTAAAGAAATGCAAAAAAAACTGGAGGTGAAGAGCTGTGCTGCTTTATTAGTGCAGGCAAAGCAATAATCCCTTGAACAGACTGTGAGATTATAGCAGGTCATGAGATTGAGATAGTAATTTAGTCTCTGGCCTAAGGTCTTTTAGCAGCTTTATTCCCCAGTAAGTGCTAAACTGTGCTGCTTCATTTTGGGCCACTGTTTGTGGCCAAATGTTGGGCTCATGATAGATTGCTCGATGTAGTCTTACCTGCTGATACAGGGTAAATTGTCTCAAATTCCATTCAGAAGAACTATGGGCCTTCTAATTAAAAAACTTTATAAGAGTATGTTTCTTAAAATGCCATTGTCACAGCTATCCTGATTTAGAAAACTACTCTTCACAAAATGAAAACTACTGTGTTTATCAGGGTGATGCTACACTTTGAATTCATCTCCAGAGCTATGCTCCATTACCCCAGCATTCATATGCTACAACAAGCTCATAAGCTTATAAAGGCATGCTGGGCAGTTGTCAGATCCTATTTTTAAACTGTTTCTGAGAAACATTTCTGTCTCCTATCTCTGTACTAGCATAGGAAAGGCTATATCCTTCATGTAGGAGCCACGGTGTCTGGGCTCAGCTAACAGCAATTTGTGAGCTCGAGTGTCTTTACAGAGATAGGAAAGCTGAATCTTTTGCTCACTTCTGTTGGGGAGGGGAAATGATGATAGGATATAGTGGAACTAGGATATAGTGGCAGTGGGCTGTTGAGTCCTTGGCTATAACTACCCTATAATAAAAGATACAGGTTTATGGTGCTTGACAGCCTAGCTAAAGTTTAATAGGAATCCTGATGGCTAGTGTCAAAGCACCTGCTTTGCTAAGCTAATGGAGTACAAGGAGTTGAGAGCTGTAACACTTCAAATGGTATCTGTCCTGGTGAATACTAAATGTTGTGGCTTTGCTTAATCTACTGAGTTGCAGTAACCCATTTACTACAATTGTGTGATAGTGTTGAACACCACATTTAAATTGCCACTAACATTGGAAAATTGCCTAAAAAATGCAACCAAGTTCTGTATGCTAGTATATTAGGGTTTTTTCTCTCTGTGTCCGAGACCATCTACTTCAGACTAGACCTGAAATATAAACACTGAATATGAGTGTTACGATATTCTTGGTATACTAGGGAGGGAATTCTTAAATTGAAGGACCACTTCAGAGAATATATATTACATAGTTTTGGCTAAAAATAAAAACTACTGATGAACCATTTAGACTTGATTTTGTTTGTCTTTTAAAACTGGCAGGCAGGGATATTTCAAACTGGGCTAACTACTATGTACAGGAAGAAAAAAAAGTCATGCTGCTGTAAAATGAATTATATGCTGCAAAATCAATGTACTGAGTTTACATGTCTTAGAGCTCTTTCAAGAGAGCCTCAAAACACTGCAGTTCCTACTAGTGTAGACCTGATTGATGGGAGGGAATCATTGTTTCAAAGCATTATTAGGACTGTACCCTGAAAGCTGTAGCTAATCCTTCACTACTTCCTTAAGAGTTGGCAGTGCAAGGTCTTCTTGTTGTCTTTTTTTTTTTCTAGAACAGGTAAGCTGCTCCTCTACACTTCACGGCACTACAAATATTATTTGCCTTGGAAGTGCAGCTGCTGGCTAACTGGTCTTCTATTTCAGTGGTGTGAC